AAAAAAAAAAAAAAAAAAAGTTACTAAAATAAGAAGGTCCTGATTCTAACAGCACCACTAACAGCACCTGTGTGAGCATGAGTCAGTTACTTAGCCTACGCCTCTACTTTCTTATTGAGAGGATTAAATGAGATTATTATATAAAGTATTCGGCACAGTGTCTAGTAGAAGTTAGTCCTCAGTAAACATCAGTCCATATATAAACATCTGAAACACAAATTTGAGGATGGATGCTTTCTTGAAAAAGAACATGGGGCCAGGGTTGGAAAGACTATACTTTCTGTACTCTTTACATTTTTAACCAGTCCATATTCTACCATTTTAAAAAATTGGCCAGGTACTCACACCTGTAATCCCAGCACTTTGGAAGGCCAAAGGGGGGAAGATAATTTGCAACGAACCTAGACAATACTGAGAGATTCTGTCTCTACAAAAACAATTTCAAGGCCGGGTGCTGCGGCTCACACCAGTAATCCTGGCACTCTGGGAGGTCAAGGCGGTGGATCGCTTAAGCTCACAAGCATGATAGTGGCCAGAGCAAGAGGGAGATCCCATTTCTACATAAAAATAGAAAAACTAGCTGGGTGTCGTGGGGTGCACCTGTAGTCCCAGCTACTAGGGAGGATGATGCAAGCGGATAGCCTGAGCCCAAGAGTTGAGGTTGCTGTGAGTTACAATGAGCAACAGACTGAGAATGTCTAAAAAAAAAAAAATTCAAACTACCAAGCATAACAACATGCCTGTATTCCTAGCTACTACAGAGGCTGAGGAAAGAGCACTGCTTAAGCACAGGAGTCCGAGGCTGCAGTGAGCTGTAATCATGCCTGCACTCCATTTTTTTTTCAATGAAAAAACTAAAAAAAAAAAAACCAAAAACTTATCTCTTGTGCTGGAGGATTTCTTATCGTGTAACATAAAGCACTATAAAAGCTGAACCATCACTACCTGAATTTGCCAAGGAGTAAGTCATAGTCTAATAATATCCATAAAGAAATACACAACCTATCTGATTTCATGAATCTGTTAGGTGTTCTTCCTTCACAATAGCTATAACAGTCTACTACACTAAAAACCTTAACCCAGTAATTTTTAAGCTGGGGTGATTCTGTTCCTTACGTGACATTTGGCAATGGAGACATTTTTGACAGTCACAATTGAAGGGGTATACTACTGGCATCTAGTGGATAAAGGCCAGGAATACTGCTAAACATTCCATAATACACAATATAGGCCTCACAACAATAATGAGCTTAAAACATCAGTAGTGCCAAGAGTAAGAGACTCTACAACATAAGGAACCATTTTACTCTGAAAGTAACCAGGTTCTTTTTTACAGTTACCAACAAAAACACAACAATAAATTCTTCCAAATAATGAATCAAAATCCTTAAGGTTTGGTAGACTAGGGGCAATGAATACTCATAGTCATTGTTGGCCATTGTTGTTCTATGTTTCTGGAATTCTAGCAGCTAGAATTACAGGTGTGTTTATCTGCCCAGTTCAATAAATTCCAAGATTTTTTTTTCTTTTTGGGACAGAGTCTCACGTTGTCACCCTGGATAGAGTGCCGTGGCATCATCACAGCTCACAGCAACCTCCAACTCTTGAGCTCAAGCGATCCTCTTGCCTCAGTTTTTGTATTTTAGGGAGAGACAGGGTCTCACTCTTGCTAAGGCTAGTTTCGAACATGTGAGCTAAAGCAATCCACTCACCCTGACCGCCCAGAGGACTAGGATTATAGACATTTCAAGATTTTTAAAGCATTATCATCAAACCTTCCAAAAGTTCACTACAAATGATTTGAAAAAATTACATGTTACCATTCTTTCCTATTTTCACTATTTTAAGAACCACAAAACTCAAACAACATACTAAAATAAAACAAGACCTTTATTTTTGTGTGTAGTTATCAAATCTTTCAGAGATGCACAGTACTTTTACATTACCATTAATCTGTCTTAGACTACTATTTTGTACATTTTGATCATGTTAAATAAAATCCTCCAAAAATTTAAGAAAATATTAGGAAAAGTCCATTGTTTCTAGTCAAGAAGTCAAAAAAACAGGACAAGTGCAGTGACTCATGCCTGTAATCCTAGCACTCCGGGAGGTTGAGGCTGGTGGATTGCTTGAGCTCAGGAGTTGGAGACCAGCCTGAGCAAAAATGAAGACCCTGTCTCTACTAAAAATAGAAAAACTGAGGCAAAAGGATTACTTGAGCTGGAGTTGGAGGTTGCTGTGAGTTATGACGCCACAGTACTCTATCCAGGGCAACAGCTTGAGACTGGGTCTCAAAAAAAAGTCAAGAAAACAATCAGCAGCAGCTAAGTAACTTTATAATGAAGTCTCAAAAATAGCAAATTAAATCCTTCTCTCTGCTCTACCTTAAAAGTATACTTTAGTGGCGGGCACCTTTAGTCCCAGCTACTCTGGAGACTGAGGCAAGAGAATCGCTTAAGCCCAAGAGTTTAAAGTTGCTGTGAGCTGCGACACATCAGCACTCTACCGAGGGTGACATAGTAAGACTCTGTCTCAAAAAAAAAAGTATACTTTAGTGTACCCTATGAGAAAGCCAACCTTTAACAAAGAGCTCTGGGAAATGTTTTATCAATATTTGGGATTCATCTTGTCAAAAAGTGCAAAACTGAACCAAGCCACCATCAAAATCTAGAGATGATTCACAAATGGGAAGGAAATTAAGTTCTGACTTAGTGTTACTGCTAACACTGTCATTACTCATATTTTACTTACGGTGTGACTTGTTTTAGACCTTTTACTTTATCTTTTCCATTATGTAATAATTGAGTCCTGTTTTAATCCTGATTTAGTATTTTTTTTTTGAGACAGGAGCCTCAAGCTGTCCCCCTGGGTAGAGTGCCGTGGCATCTCAGCTCACAGCAACCTCCAACTCCTGAGCTCAAGCGAGTCTTCTGCCTCTGCCTCCCAAGTAGCTGGGACCACAGGCACTCGCCACAACGCCTGGCTATTTTCTGGTTGCAGCCGTCATTGTTGTTTGGCGGGCCCAGGCTGGATTCGAACCCGCCACATTGGGTGTACGTGGCTGGTGCCTTAGTCACTTGAGCCACAGGCGCCAAGCCCTGATTTAGTATTTTAATACTGTGTAATAGTTCACCAAATAGAACCTTATTCTGATTAAGGAATTCTTAAAGAGACAAAAAAAATCTTAATTTATTCCTATAAAACAAAAAAAAGTACCTAGAAAGGGTGTGTTTTTCAAATATAAGATGCAATAAAGGTAATCTTTCATTGCTTTTCCAATACATTTTTCGTGATGTGCTGTAGTATTAGAATTTCTCCATTCACTTCAAGTCACTCCCCCTGAGCATCGAGAACTTTAGTACTTGTCCAAACCTGCTTGCTCATAGTCTAATAATAAATCTAGTTATACAATCTGTAAGAGCCCCTGACAACCTTTTCCCTTAAGAAGTCATAAAGGTGACTTAACTAACACCTCGAACTCTTAGTTTATCTATTTCAAATTATCACGTTTCATCATTCCAGCCTTTGGCTTCTGCAGAGGGCTAAGAGCTGTTGGCTTTAAAGCAGGGAGTGGGAAGTCGCCTGAACTGAGAGTGACACACGCTGGGCGTTGGACAGCAGGGGTAACTGCTGGTTCATTTCTCTTTAAATCTGGCAGCACGTGGGGAGGCATTGTGAAGCCACCAACCCGCCTCCCCCCTTCCACTCCGCACACGTACCTCTCCAGAGCGCATGCTCCGCTCACCCAGTCCTAGCAAGAGTAGGAGCCAACCCCCTAAAAAGTCAACCTGGAAGCCACAAACGGCCGGAGGCCGGGACAATGGGGGAGGGGGACACAGGCACCTCTGGGGAGGCAGACCCGGCTGCGGTCCTAGCCCGAGCTGGCGGGCGCAGCCCTGGGGGTCTGCAGGCCTGAGCAGGAGCCGGAATCGCGGCGAGCACAAAGCCCCGAGCCGGCCAGCGAGCGGCTCTCCCCTCGCCCGCTCCTACCCTCCCCCAGCCAGGCGGCGCAGCCGGAGCCCGTGCCAGGCGGAGGCAGGCGAGGCGGCGTCCCGCACCCCGCCAGGTTCTTAAGACACCCGCGCGCCCGCGCCGAGGCCGCCAAGGCCGGCGCTTTTGTTATCGGCCACAACTCCACAGACCCAGCAATACCCGGGGAGAAGTTTTGCGCGCCTCACCTATATGGCCAAGGGCCAGTCCCTTTCGCCCACTCTTGCCCTCCGCTGCCCACCTCCAGTTCAGACAGCGGAGACCGGGACTCGCAGCGTGCCGGGCCCAGACGCTCTTGCCTGCCCCCGGGGTCCGGCGGAGGCCGCCGCACCTGAGCCCAGGACCCGCCCCTCCAACGAGGGCGGCCCCGCCAGACCACCCACGGCCCCTCCCCCGCAACGTCCCACCGAACAGTGGGGGAGGGGACAACCTCCTCTTCGACCCCCAGGACGCCAGGCCCAGTCCGAGTGCTAAAGCTGGGACGCGCGTCCCCGCCCCCAATGCCCTCCGAGAGCCAGCCAAGTACTGGGCCGGGCCAGGACCAGAGCCCCAGGATCCCCACCCTCACAGGCCCGGTCCCTCTCGGCCGTCCAGCCACCAGCCCAGGAGGAGGGGAGGTGATACCCGGCAGCGATCGCGGCCGGGCCCGGCGCCCTGCCGCCCGCTCGCTCACCTGCCAGCTGTCTTCGCAGTAGCAGTGCCGACTGCAGCTCCGTCATCTTCCCCGCCAAGGGCCCGGGCTGGCGCCGGGACTTTTGAAAGGCTAAGGACAGGCTCTGGGGACAGCTGGAGCTGGGTGTGCTGAGGAACCTGGGCCCCACGACGGAGCTCCGAAGCCGAGGGAGGCCGGGCTGGGGCGGTGGTAGAGGCGCCTCGCTGCCTCTGCGGGTCTGCTCGGTTCAGCTCTTCTCACAGCGACACACGCCCGGAAGGGGAGGGTACCCGGGCCGCCGCGGCGCGCTCTGGGACTTCGCTCGCCCGCTTCCCTCCTTCAACCCGCCCGTCGGCCCCTCCGGAGCCTTCCCCGCCACTGCCTCACTGCGCTCAGGGCCGCTCCGCGCAGGCGCGCAGAGCCTGCCGACTTCCGAAGCGACCCGCCTGCTAACCCGACCCCTCTGCCTCCCTGCCCCGCCCCCGGCGGCGGAATCCCGCCCCTTGCACGCAGTTCTCCCGTCGCCGCCATTTTGGGAAGGTCGACACACAGCGGACTGCGGAAGCCTTCGCTGGTAGACGCCCTGCGGACGCCATGACAAAGAGGTCACGGAGGGTCAAACTGTCCCGCGAGTTGAAGCAGGTGGTCTGCGAGCGAAGGGTCCAAAAGAAATGGTAGTTGTCTGGTTATTGGCAAGCACCCGACAGCCCTCTAACACTGCACATATGGTATGCGATTTACTCGTTGTTAGAAAGCTGAACTTAGTACTGGTGTGTCCCATTTCAAACAACCTCCCAAACGGACTTAATAAATACTGATAATTCAATTTACATAAAGAATGCGCAAAAAGATTCTTGAAATGAGCAAAATGTTCTGCATTTCATAGTACAAAATGTTGAAACAGGCCGAGCACGGTGGCTCAAGCCTGTAATCCTAGCACTGTAGGAGGCCAAGGAGGGTGGATTCCTTGAGTTGAAGAGTTCCAGACCAGCCTGAGCAAGAGCGAGGCCCCTTCTCTAGAAATAGCCAGGCTTTGTGGGCGTCTGTAGTCCCAGCTTCTCCTTGTGGGCGCCTGTAGTCAATGCTTCTCTGGAAGCTAAAGCAAAAGGATCCCTTGAGCCCCAGTTTGAGGTTGCTGTGAGCTATGACCTCAAGATACTCTGCCAAGAGTGACAAAATGAGACTGTCTCAATAAAATAATGATTAATAATAATATTAATAATCTTGATAATAGTATCAAGACTAGCAAAATGGTGTATCCAGATTAAGTAGAACGATTTTGAAGTATTTCTTTTTCTATTGTCTTTAAGAATTTGGCATGATCTTCTTTTTTGAAATTATCTGTTACTTTCATTTATAAATATTAGTTGTCTATTTTTTTGAGACTTTGGAAAAAACAAAATAAGTTAACTGATCAAAGTATTCTATAATAGACATACTTCTATCTGACAATG